AGCCACGAAGTGTCGATCTCCTATTGCAGTCGTTACTCGTTAGTGCATGCCATGTCGCCGCTGATGGTTGACAGTCATCCGAGCCATCCTCCCATGACTGAGCGGCCGGTGAGACCACTCTCAGACGGCCTCCAGCTCCACTGCTTTGAACGCTAATCATCGCACGCGACCGGCGACGACAGAGAGCGCTTCACGCGGTGTTAATTTTATGACGGCAGAACACGGATGACAAGGCGTTGAGCGTCCGGCTTTCATCTGTGCAGTGCGTGACGGCCACTCAGCGGCGGAGTGGTGTCCAAGTAGGGGAAAGGGGGACGTAGCCGACGCGTTACGAAATGAGGGGCGGGCGTGCCACGCCATTCGTCACTCAGAGCCGTCCGTCGGCCCACCAATCCGTCACAGCACGGTGCCTCCGACAAGGTGATAACTGGCGTTGAAAGTGGACGGGGCGAGAGAGATGATGGACTGAAGTCCGAATGAAACCTGCAGTCAGGCCACACTCGAGTTGGGCGGCTTTTTACGGCCTAAATTTACCAGTTCAGAAGACTGGGCATCGACTTGTGTCCTGGTCAGGGAGGCGTGAAGCGTACCATACATAAATTGTAGGTACACACCTTTGCCAGCTAATGCAATGCATGAAGTTCACGCTAGTAACTGTATTTGATCCTATCAAACCGTGAGAAACTTATTGCACATTATCCGGAGGTGCACGCCCCGTAACCAACACCAACTTTGTCACTTATCTACTACACTTGTGTTGTGTTAAAAACAAGCAAAGTGTTTCTTGATACCATCTAGTTAGAACACAAGAATAGTCCGCGCGGAAATATCGCATTCACGGAATCTGCAGCGTCGTGTGCAGGTTTCTCAGACACGCTCCGTCCTTGGCAATGCTCCCAGCTCCGCTAGCCGCCTTCCTATCAGCCGCTCGGCCTCGGCGGGGTCTCGGCGGCTGTTCACGAGTTCACCCGGCTCACCTCTCGCTCTCGGGGTGACGATGATACCCTTCTTTATCACCCCTCTCGGAGCGATCATCTGTTTAGTGCGTCCTTGGCTCGGACGGGCGGCCGGGCTGTTCCCAGCGGAGGCTCAGCCCCGCCGTTTGTCCCACTCGCAGTGAGCTCAGCGGCCCGACCTTCCCACGGCGTTCCGGGCGGCGGCCGCGCGACTCTGCAGACTGCAGGCGGCACGTGCAGCAGTGCCGCTCCAGTTCCGGCGGCCCGCAGGCGGAGGGCGACACGGCGCCGCCCGGTCACGCCGGTTACCGGTGTAAAGTGTCGCTGGGAAGAGCCACTGGTGGGGAGGGAGGGAGGTGCTGCTATCGCTCTGGTGAACACGGTGACCGAGGCGCCACCCCAGTTCTTTCACTGCCCGCTGACATTGGTGGACGGGCTCCCTGAGTGGCCCGCCCCTTGTAGCCACTCAGCTGGTCGCCGACATCTCAAGGTGAGCCACTGTCCCAGTCCCGGTACACCAGCGGGACGGGGGTGGCGACAGCGGACCCTCTGCCCCGCCGCGAACGACATCCCTTCTCTGAATGGGCGCCCTGTGGGGCTCCACAGGGGCGTGCCATTCCCGGGGGTGGAGGGGTAGCACTCTCCTATCTGTCTCTCTCCGAAGGCTGTTCCCAGGCCTCACCGGAGAGACCGTCTGCCTTTGGAGGGCAGATCCGGGCGCGCCGCGTGACTGGGTCTCGTTAGACGGCGCCGGGGCCCGGCCCGGGAAGAAAGGCAAGGCTGTGTGTCAGACGAGCGCGCTCGGCTGCCGCCGCAGCCGTCCGGAGCCGACCGCAGCTCGAGGCGCCGCCCGCTCCGCACCAGGTCGTGCCTCATCCCAACTGTTTCTGTTTGACACCGGTTTGGGCAGACGTCACCTTTCCAGACGTTATTGGTTGTCTGCTCGGAGACTGGCTGTTTGTCTGGGTGGCTGACTGGGCGGCGGGCGGCGCTGGATGGCACGCCCCGCTCTCCACGGTCCGTGCCGGGGCGCCGCCCGGCCCAGAAAGGCCTCCCGCTGCCGCCGCGGCCGCCGCTCTGTGACGCGCTGTCACCAGTAATTGGCAGTGTCACGCTCTCTCGGAGACGCTGAGTGCGGCGGAGGGCGGGCGCGGCCGCTGCCGTGACGGATGAGTGCCGGGTCAGACCGGGTCACAGGGCGGGCGCGGCGCCTCGACGCATCTTCAGCGGACTGTCGACAATCGGCCATCTCCGAGTGATGCATCCAGCGCGGAGACCGCTGATTCATCTCACAAGGGAGGCCCGTCTTGTCCCACTCCTCGATCCGCAGCTGATCCATCTGGCCCGTGCAGACTCCCACGCTTCTGTCAGCTGATACGAACATAGACATGGCCGCAGCAGCTGCGATCGGCCGCCGCCGATCCGTAGGGAGGCCGTCCACGGCCCGGTGGGTCCGTTCAGAGCCGTCAGCTGATCTGGTCTGACATTACCGAGACCGGGCGACCTCGGCGCGGCTGATGGTAGCCACGGCCCACCGACACGGGCCGCCGCACAACGTATAGGAGAGAGATGGTGCGGACTGTACGGACCAGATACGGGTCTGTATACGAAATGCGGAGCTGTATAAGAGAGAAACAGGGCAGCTGTACGGAATAATGCCGTGTGCAGTAATGTTAGGTTCTCGTGGACAGCAAGACTGAGAGATGATGATGATGAATTGGGGTTTTTGGGCGCCCAGACTACAGTGGTCATCGACGCCCATGACTGAGAGAGGGGCAGGAGGGTAACTGATAGCGACATGAACTACATGCTCGAAAGAGCATAGTAACTAACATGCATTTTCACTCAAATCAGCATTTACGACATGCTCCAACCGTCACAGCTTCACGGGTTACGGGATTGCAGAAGCCTTGAAATGGGATTCGTGAATTGCGATTGACTCGTGATCTGAATAATGCTACGGAATTATACACTCCGATCTGCCAACTGTTGCAGCCCGCAACAGCTGTGTTGTGTCAGAGACAATTCAGGCGCTGATGTATAGCTATGCATGATTTGCCAACAGCTGTCTAAAATATTCACTGCGCAATACAGTGTTTGTGATGGACCGAGCGGTACTGCTGTTTCCGCTTCGGATCACAAGACTCGTGCATCACCAGTGGCGGATCCAGGGGGGGGGGGGCAAAATGGGCATTTGCCCCTCCCAAACGGCATAATTTTAACATTACGCCTATGGACGAGGCATGGAAAGAATCGATAAATTGTTATGGTTTGCCCCCCCCCCCCCCCCCCAAAAGAAACTCTGAGCTGGATTCGCCTCTGTGCATCACGGCCATGGACATATTCGCGGGCGCATATGCATTGCCAACAACGGTCTACATTGAGCAACACGCCATTGTGCCAGATCGATTTACATGGTACGACTATGTCAACTGCGGTTTACCAACGATGCTATCTTTCAAAACCGCGACTCCGCTGTGGTCGGGCCAATTATTCATTGGCGGTGGGCTCGGATCGCTTTCTTTTCAATCACCACCTTGGGTCGGTGCAATTCACACTACAAGCCCGGCGACAACTGACAAACGGCTCGGTTTCTCTGCTTTCCTGAAAGGGAGAGTGGTCGGCTGAATTTCCCGTTCCCGAGTCGCCTCTGTCGGCGGACGGTGGCCGCGGCTTCCGAACTGGTTTCCCAGGGCTGATGCAGCGCCCGGTCCGCCGTCCGCCGCCGGCCCTCCGAGACTACCCGGCCGGTGACGTGCCGAGTCGTGCCGCCGGCCCGTACCGTGAGACCGGGCCGTTTTCACGCTCCGAGGCACGACCGATATGCGCTCCTCTCCTCTCTCCATCTCTCTCTCTCTCTCTCTCTCTCTCTCTCTCTCTCTCTCTCTCTCTCTCTCTCTCTCTCTCTCTCTCTCTCTCTCTCCCTCTTTCCGTGACCTGAAGGCTGACCTGTCACGGCCGGTCAGGCTTCTCTCCTTGGTGAGCTCCGACCGATCAGCCTGCAGTCACTGTGGAACGATCGGTGCCGACTGCATAGAGCAGGTGTGCCTCTCCGCGGCTACCGGACATGCCTTAGCTATCGTGCTGAATGAGCACACCTGAGCCTCACCCTCGAGCCCGCTGGACGAGCTCCGGCGCGGCGGCCCGCCTGCCGAGCCTGCCCGCCGCCCCTACAGCACTCACAACTGTCTCCTCTGTCACATTGTTTACCCACTCTGCTGTTCGAGTGCCACCATCAGTGTCTATCTGCTGTATTGGCCGACCTTCACGGTTGGTCTGGGACTGATCAAAACCGGTTTTTATAGCGGTAAAGTGCGCTAAAACTAGCACAATGTAACAAACATGTCGACTGTGCGCGCTATTCTATCGGTTCTATCCAAACAGACCCACCAGAGAGCTTGCGAGTTTAAAAGCCACGTGGTTTAAACCATGGTCCGACGTGACCCGACCCGGCCCAGCCCTGGCTGGCTTGACACAGCCCGACCCGACCCGGCCCAGCCGAGCTGTGGTGTCGGTGTCCGCCGACTTTCTCTCGGGTAGAAATCTCGTCTCTCCCCGGTACATCCCGCAGCGCCGGGGAATGGACGGCGCCAACACGACGCATCCGCTTCTCGTTTGTTGGATGGGGTGTTTGTGCCGCTTTTGAAAGTCTGTTGTGGCAAGACAACAAGCTGCGGCTTCGTATGACGAGCACAATGCCTCAGACATTAGGACAAATTATGACCTCATCAAATCGCAACGGATACCGAACGACATGATAGCCGCTGTATTGTTGTCGGTTCATTCGCCGAAAGAATTCAGCGCAGGATGTGACTAATTGCTCTGCGACGCGAAAGCACTCTCCGGGCGATGTCCCAAGGCCCGCTTTGTGTCGGCCGCTGCGGTGTGTCGGGGGAGGGGGCTCGGAGGGGAGGGAGCTTCGTGTCTGACGCGTCCCGTGACTCTGTCGGTCGCCCTGATAACTCCCTGACCCGAGTGTGGCTGTCACGTGATCCATGGCGGTTATTCGCGGTGCGCTGACGCCCGGTGACCTTCTTGTTTCAGGTCAGAGGTGCCGACCTGCCGACACCGTCGACCGCGTCTGCAGCGGCACAGCTCCGCCCGTCCGACCGGCGGGGAGTTCAATCACAGACCTCTGCAGCCCAGTGATCAGAGGTCATCTGACGACAGTGCCACCACTCACGGACTGAGGTGCGCGAGGTGAACCGAGGACCAGTGAGGCCTCCCGAGTGTTGGACGTCGCGCCGCCGGAGCGAGCTGCGGCTAACGGTCGGCCGGCGCCGCCCGGGTCGGGCCCTCAGCGCCGAGTCGGCTCATTAAAGCCGTGAGCTCGCGCATTAGCGCCGCCGCGGAGTGCGCGCGATCCTCGCGATCCCGTCGCAGTCTCCGCGCTCGGCCGACTCGAGCCGCTCCAGTTGGTGGCCGAGCGGAGCGGCGCGCTGCGTTTCGTTTTCCCGCAGCCGCGGATCGCGTGTGGTTTAGTCTCGCGCCGACGCGCCGCGCGCTCGGCGTGCGTGGCGAGCGCAGCGGGCCGCAGCCGGCGCCGCGCCGACAGCGATGACCGACTGAGCGCCGCCCGCGCACCGTGTGACACTTGACACCGCCGGGACCGCAGCGGCCGCGCCCTGAACTGTGACACCATGCAGGCGGCCCAGCTGAGGAAGCCGCTGCACGCAGTGGTGTGGCACCGCGGTCCCATCTCGGGGCCGCTGACGCCTGCGGTGCTCTCCGAGCTGCTGCAGCGGGCCGCCGCGGCGCCGCAGCCGGGCGACCTGCGCTGCGAGGTGCGCTGCGCCGACGGCTTCAGCCTGCGGCTCTGCACCAGCGGCGATGAGGGCTTCGAGTCAGACGAGGAGGCCGTCAGCAGTGGGGCGAGCGAGCACAGCCAGGAGGAGATCCGCGTCAGCGACCACGTGCTGCGCGGCAAACTCAGCGAGGAGGACTCGAGCAGCGCCAACTCGAGCTGCTCGGACACGGACGAGCCACCGGCGCCGCCGCCGGCCGACTCCAGCGTCATCCACGGCGCCGACATCCTGTTCTGCCACACGGAGCCGGCCGTGCCGCGCGGCGTGCTCTTCGTGGCGCGCCAGCCGCAGGCCGGACGAGACGCCGGCCTCGAGGTGCTGGTACTCGGCTGCGCGCGCGACTCAGTGGCCAAGGATCTGTCCACCTCCTACCTGGAGGTGACGCGCAGACTCAAATGGGAACGCTACACCAACGCTAAGCGGAAAAGCGACGTGATGCGGGCGAGTTTCCGTAACGTGACGGACAGCCTGCGGCTGCGGCCGGCAGGTCGTCAGGAGGACTCGCTGCTCAGCAGGATGCCGCTGTCGTCGCCGCTGCTCGCCCGGGAGCCCCACTCTCTGACGGAGCAGAGCGGCGGCCGGCTGCCCGCCGACGGCACTCTCCGGGCCGAGTCCGGGCCGCACAGCCTGCCGCCCACCTCCGAGATCAGCCGGATCCTCAGTCTGAGCACCCCGGAGGACGGCTGGGAGACCCGCACCGCTCACCGCCAGGACGACGAGGAGACTTGGGCGCGCGGCCGGGAGCGCTCCTGTCTCACACCCTCCCGATACGTGCACAACAAGGGCCCGGCGCCGGCGGCGCCCGCGCCCGCGCCCCGGAAACACCCAACCAACCCGAACCTGCTGCTGGTGCCGACCAAGAACGGCCTGGAGCCGTACCGGGTGATCACGGGCGCCGAGCCGCCGCGGCCGCCGCTGGTGCTGTACGCCGCCGAGTTCGCGCCGCACGCACCGCCGGCCGCGCGCGCCGACTGGGCGCACAAGATGGCCCAGTTCGACACAAACAACAACCGGTCGCGCCAGCCGGGCCGGCAGCCGATCTTCTGGCTGCCGGCGCCCGAGCCGGCCGGCTGGGGCGGCGGCCCGCGCCGCGCAGAGCAGCACCTACGGCCCCGCTCGCGCAGCAAGAGCCCCGCCGGCCGACACCGGGCCTTCGAGCTGCCCGGAGCGCTGTCCCAGGCGTTCCGTGGCCTCACCTCGCACCTGAAGCGTCCGGCGGCCGAGGCGGCGGCGCCGCCCGCCGCCCCCGCCACCCCCACCAACCCCAAATCGGTGATGAAGAAGCGGGACAAGGCGGCGGGGTCACCGGAGACGAAACGGGTGACCTTTAGCGCCTACTCGACGGTACAGGTCATGGACTGACCCGGCGCCGCCGCCGCCGCCGCCGCGCCGCGCCGCCACAGAGTGCTGTGAAACACTTGTTTAATGTCTAGAGGAGTTTATGACGGTCGTCGATCCTAGCAGTCGGCCACTGCGAGTCATGCACGGGGTCGGAGCGGTGCCGACGACCGACGGAATGGGCGGGGTGGGGAGGGAGGGGAGTGTGTCGTCCGAGAGGAGAGCTCAGGTGTGTTGGCTGCGTGCCGCGAGGGCTGCGATACTGCTCAATGTTCCCTGCTGGCGCGCCCAGTCGCTGTATGTACAGTGCACTTTGTCCTGGTGTCGTGTCGGTATATGTATAATGTATATCTCTGTACAATAAAAGCGTCACCCAGGGGCCGGTGTTTCACCGAGGAGGCTGACAGTCTGTGGAGCGATGAGTGAAACTGAGAGCCGGTCAGGAGCGGAGTGACACCCGTCTGCCCGGAGCGGGACGGCGGCGCACCCCTCGCCGCCAGCCGGTGCGTCGGCACTTGCTTTCTAAATCGAGCCGTGACGCCGGCCGGGGCGGCCGCGCCTCGGATGCCAGCGCCGCCGGGCCGCGCACCTGACCGCTGCCGCTGCCGCCGCCGGTCAGCGCCCAGTGAAAGTGGCGGCCGGTCGGTGGCCGACCCGACCGGTCCGGCCCGAGCGGTGACCGGTCAGCGGGGCCGTGTTACGGCGCACGACCGGACCGCACGCCTTCCTGTCACCGGTCCCCTCCCTTCCGGCTGCCGGTGGGAGGGGGGGGGGGGGGTCCCGGTGTGCGGTACCGACACCGAATCACACTGCAGTCAGCCCGGCACGCTTGTATTAGAGAGTCGCCTGCCGACTGGTCCTTCAGGATGCAGCAACAACAAAAATGACCAGGATTAGACACAGAGCACGTTCCTTAGTAATCCCGATCTGTAATGCTTCTAAGGCACCATCGTGGGAGCGTTTCATGAGATGGCTTTCCGCAATATTTCCTGCTTATTAATCTTTGTAATTGCTGCTCATCCCACGGCTAATTGTTACATGCTGGCTCTGCAAACCAGGCAGAGGTCTTTGCCGTCGCGCCGGGCTGTGGGAACGTGGTAAACTCGGCGTTGACCCCAGTTTATGCACCGGCCGAACCTCGCACATGGACGGCGGCGAACTGCGCGTCTGCCCCGGGAACGCCGGCCGGGCGCGGGAAGGTCGTCCCGGCGGCCGCCTTACGTGCGCAGACACCGCTGATTACACGGCGGAACTCTGGCTCGTCATTAAACGTAACGGGTGGTCCGGTCGAATCGGGCGCGGCGCATCGCCCGCCGCATCCCACGCGAAAACAAACTGACCGGCCGGCCGGCGCCGGAGCTGCCCAGACGGCGGTGGAGTAAAGTGGCCGACAGGTGGGCGCTGACAGAAACCACACCCCACCGCGCCGCTATCGTGGACTGAGCACCGTCAGCTGCGGGACATTAGACAGACCAGACGCGCCGCCCAAATTAGCGCCAACGCCCAGGCACTGACCAGCCGCCGAAACAGACACCCAGCCAACACCGAAACAGACACCCAGCCACTGACGCGGACATCCAGTCACTGAAATAGACACCCAGCCACTGCTGAAACAGGCACCCAGCCACTGCTGAAACAGGCACCCAGCCACTGAAACAGACACCCAGCCAACACCGAAACAGACAACCAGCCGCCGAAACAGACACCCAGCCACCGAAACAGACACCCAGAACCGAAACAGACAACCAGCCACCGAAACAGACACCCAGCCAACACCGAAACAGACAACCAGCCGCTGAAACGGACACCTAGCCACTAAAACGGGCACCCAGCCAACGCCGAAACGGACACCCAGCCACCGCCAAAGCAGACATGACTGTGCTGCTTTGACTGGATATTGGGGTCTCAGGTGACTCCTGGACGACTTGAGAAACTCCGAGCATTTAGCCGAACCTAAGAGGAGACTGAAAGCGCTCCGCCGCACCAGTCCAGAGGACCGTTCTGTCGGTAATTGGCCGTCGTGGCGCCCCCACAGGACGAAGAACCTGGGCCGGTCGTCGCCGACACAATCTGGACATCTAGAGAGTGTGCCGGACCGGGACCGCGCTGCCAAGAACGCGGCGATCGGTACGGCGCAGTGACGAGCTGATGCATTGCATGAGCGCGGAGAAAGGCGGCCGGTGTCGCCCCGGCTCGTCGCCCGGCCGGCAGGGCGGCCGAGCCCGCGGCCGGCCGGCAGATGGTCGGCAGTGAGCCGCTCACAATCGGCAAACGGCTGCAGTTGGCGACTTTCGTCAGTCGGCACATACATACGCGGCCACGGTGGCGGCCGGCGTTACCTCACAGACGCTCGCCGGCTTGCACAAGCAGCCTGTATTGTGCCGGAGGCGGCGGTTCGCGAACGGCGGTCACGGTGGCGCGTGGGGCACAAATGACCGTCCGTCCTCGGGTGGAGGAGGTGCACAACAGATGGCCCCGTCCTCTGACACGCGCCGCCGCCGGTGGTGGTGGTGAGAGGACGGCCCCGGGCACCAGCGCACTCAGCGGGCCGGAGATACTCCTCTCCGTCCCTCTGTCTCTCCCTGCCTCGCCCCCGCGCCCCGACCCCTGCCCCGCGGCCCTGGCAGACGCCACCACCCCGAGTGGGAGTTTCACTGGCCTTCGCGGTGAGATGCGGCGCTCATGTTTGGGTATGCAAATCTGAGCCTCATTGAGAATCATGTCAAAATCTGACAAACATGGCTGGCAGACGAGCGCCGTCAGCCCCGCTGCGCCGCCCCCGCCGACCGCCGCGGCGCGGCCGAGGCCGTCGTTACATCAAGATGGGGTATCACTCGCTGGTGAATGTGATGGCAACAAAATGTGATGGATTGGATGGGATAGTGGAAATCATTGCACATGCATTTGCTATGAATACTGCTACCATTATACATACAGAAAAATAAAAATAAAAGGACATCATAAATATAAATTTATCAGCCTATTCCTCTTTGTTACTTTTGACAAAACAAAAAGAACTAGAAAAACTTAACAGCCACCAGTAAATTCCTGTGGGGTCATCTTCAAGGGCCCTGCTATTGTTTTTGTTAGCTCGCGACTGTTTTACAATCGGCACTACATACAAGCCATCCTGTGGCGCCGGCACTAACCGCTGCATCCACGTGAAGATGTTTCACTTTTTCGCTTCGGTCGAGCCTCTTCCAGAGTCAATTTCTACGATAGTAACATTTCTGGCGGTACCATGACCAGGCAGTAAAGCAGCGGCTATATTTATCCAGCGATTATGACGACCGGCCTCCAGTGGAGACATGGTCAGTACGTCAGACCGGCGGGCATTGTCGGGTGCCTCACAGCGACGTTTACAGGCCGGCCGAGAGTCCAGACACCACTCGTTTTCTCGGACCCTTCCGGCGGCAGAAGGCGATCACAAAAAGCGGCCATTCTCGGCGTGCTCGCGCCGTGACGGGCTCCGTGTCTCTCTGCCGGATGTGATGTCGCACCTTCTCTGTCGCAGCGCCCCCCGCCGAGCCAGCATTCGACGCAGAGCGGCTCTTTTTCTCATCGGCAAGTTCTTTTAGATGCAGCCGACTCCTTTTTTTACAGACCTAAGCGGAAATATTTTCAATTCAACCATTACTGGCGACTATAGAGTGATGAAATCAGAAATGATTGCGCTTAAGGCATTATGGCGATAGACGACCTACTGAGCTCAATGCCATTTGCTGCGGAAGCATTCCATGTCAGCAGTTACCAGTGCTCGTGTCACCTACTATTCATTTCTTGTCACCCTCGTTACGTCGTGCGTTATGATCGTTTTGCTGCGGTAGCACTAGCGGTTACCACAACATACGCCGGCCTAGTGCCCACCGCAGCACATCTTAGCACGCGCACTACCAAATGAAGACACTCGATGACCAGATGATTACGGTGATAAGCCTCAATTGCGACTGACGGTTCGCTATAAACTTCTGCGTGACTGCAGAGTGAAGGAGACGTGTGTATATTTTTAGCCGAGTGTCACCGTAGATTATGCTCGTCATTGACGGCGCATCACTGTCGAGAAGCGAGACTGATGCCGGGTTATTCATTTAGTCATCGGCAAAGACGCCGCGTCATCAGTCAGAAGGCCAAACGAATTATGTGCTGATCCACAGCTACTTCAATGGAAAACTATCGTACAGCCCAAATTCTTTAACGAGCTTGCAAAAGATGACTGATGTCATCACTGTCTACCGTGGAAGCCGTATGGCTACCCATCTACGCTGGAGTACGAAAAACATCATCTCACATATACAACGGATCCAAGGTCTGGGCGGCTTACACGTGTGAAGTTTTACACACACAAGAGGCGTTTCATCGCGCGGCTCGGTTTCCGTTTGAGCAATTACACGGCCATGCAATTCTAGCACCGAGGTATAGCGTGTCGAAAACCCACATGAGCGGCTCGCCGAGCGGACATTAAGTCAGTTAGCAGCCGCAGCCGCCGCCGGGCTGGTCGGTCAACGACTCGGCGCCGCCCGAGCCGCGGAGAAAGGCCTCTGAGCCGCGGAGAGGAGCCTGCTCTCGGCTATGCTATGAGCTGCAGTGAGCCCTCCCATCTGCCGCTGTGGGCGACTCAGCACCGGCTACCGCTGTGTCAGCAGCCGCCCCACGACAGGCGTGATTAAGGCGACTCGAGAAAGCTGTATACGGACATTCATCGGGCTTATGCTAAATAAACAGCTGGTTGTTTGCTTTAGCATTCGCACCGGTGGGTCAGCGGCCGGCGCAACTTTCTAAAGAAACGTGTGTTTCCAGACAAGTGTACTAGCCGACCCGTTAGTGAGTAAATCTTGCCTGTTTCATGAGTTGTCACCCCATCCGAACACACCAGAACTCTGGCACAGATAGCAAAAGCCGTAAAATTGAAACTGTCTGACTGTTCGCGTGCTCATCTGACGTGGAGATTTCTAGAGTTTCTGACATGTGTGGCAAAATTTTAGTCTGGTTCATTGCCAGTTCATCGGCCTGTCGGTCGATCTGCATCACAAGCCGTTCAGAGAGTCAACATCCTCTGCGGTCAGTCGCGATAGTTTCTGGCTGATCGTTTTCCCAGGGACATTTAAAGACGAAATTCACAGCCTAATCCTGAGGTTTGACTGAAAAGAAGACGCGGGAGCCCGTGGGCAGCCTCGCGGCCACCGCCCGGTAGTCTGAGTCGATCCACTCTGGAATCGGATGCACTTGCTCAGGTGTCTCGATATAGGCCCAACTTCTGTCACTCCCCGCGTGTATGTTTTGTGTGTCCCTCTTATTACTCCGCGGGATAGGGTGAAAATATCGCCACCGACGAGGACCCCCGGGGCGCCTGTCACGCAGCATCCCCAGCACATCACGACC